AAGTAGGAAACCACTTTCCTACTTGGTTAATTTTACAAATGACAGGACCACCTGCCTAAAGGGGATCCAGTCTTTAAAATGGTTCGAATACCGATTGGATAAATGGCCGACTGATCGTCTAGCCTGGAAACAGACAACCAGTCGTCTAGGGGCATAGGCGGCGTGACTAACTATCCGTACCTGTCTGCAACTATCGGCCATGTAAAACAGTCGGTATAGTGTACAATTGGATATCAGAATATTCAATACTTAAACAAATTTGAAGCAAAACAAAAATATTCATTAAAAGGAAGCCGGTCATTAAAGACCGGCAAAATATTCAGAGCCCCGGCCCCCTGGCCGGGTAAATATAAACAAACGGCACGCAGGCCGGGGAAAGAAGACATAAAGCTTATGAAGGGGGCAGATCTTCAATATTAGCAGCTGCCGCCTGGTCAGCACTCTTTTTGCTGGACTCGGCTTCAGCTGCATCCTTCTTCGATGCATTACCCCCAAGCGGCACAAGCGCCACTACCGGCTGCTCCTCCTCCTCCAACGCCTCTTCCTCAGCAGCCGCCAGGATCTCTTGATTATATCTATCAGAACACTGGCGGTACGTTTTTTCCCAGGAGGCAAAGTCGGCATTGGGGAAGAGGCGGCCCCAAGTCATGCGCTGGATTTGAGCAGAGTCTTCCATCATCTCCCGGACCAGCTCTTTCTTTTCTTGCTCGGCCTTTTCCGAGAGCTCCTGAGTAAGACTCTTCTCCTGGGTCACCAGGCGTTCCTTTACGCTCGCCAAGGATTTCTCCAAGGTTTCGTATGAGGACATCTTTTGGCGAAGAGGTCTCAGCTCGGTCTTGAGGTTGATGATGGTCGCCTCCAGCTCGCTATTCCTCTTTTGGGCCGCCTCTAACTGAGCCCGGATAGCGGCGGTAGCCTGCGCCTGATAATAAAGAATATCAATTGTCAGAACTTCATTTTGGGCAATTTGAAACATTGCCTTATCACAGTCAGAGGCGGCCATAGCTTTTGCAGCCTTTACCTCTTTGTTCTTCCGGTCAAGCGGCTTGCGAAGGCCGTTCACTCGGAGCAGGGCCTAAGTAAAAAGGGGAACAGGCGTCAGTTTCCAAACAAAAAAGAAAACAGGCGTCCTGGTATTCAAATACTCAAAAATATGCTAAGTATACCTTAGCAAGGACCCCTGCAATCCCGTCTAGGTCAAGGGTGCCGACACCCCTGACCGCCTCCCTTTCAGCTTGAGGTACGGCCTTGATCATAGACTTGGCCACTTCGACCAAGTCAGGCTCTTGAGGGCCGGCTGCATCAAGCATAAACAAACGGATTAGACCTAGTAAAGGAGGGAGCAAGTCTAAAATTTACAAGGACAATTTCATACTTCTAGGTGGCCCAGCTGGAGTTTTAGAAGAAGTGGCCGGCTGTTTCTCAGCCGCCGCATGTTTCCTGGCAGAACCAGGAGAGCTCGCAACAGTCGTCCTCCGGGCCTTGGGGTCCGGCTGTTGGGAAGAAGAAGCTCTTGGAGCGCCCGTCTAAAAAAGAAGAAAAAAGTCAGTATATGCATAAACACAACTCCAAAAAGAGGGTGAAAGGTTCGAAGCCCACCAAGGGTGCCCCCTTGTTGGGGGAGTCGGTTGAAGACTGTCGCATGATGGAGGCCCGCAACATGGCCGCCGCAGTCTTGGAGGCGGTAATTTTGCTCATGGCGTCCGCTGCAAAAACAAATAGCAAAGTTAATAAAAGTCATAACAAGAAATGCACAGAACAACAGAGTATTCAACAGGCCGGCTACCTCTTGAGCACCGACTGCTGAGGCCACAGGCGGCCAAAAAGTACTCGTCGTAGAGCCATTTAAAGCTCAGGACGCAGTGCAGGGGTACTTGCTCTCGTACCCCTGAAGTAGAGTTCACCTTCGACTCTACTTTGAAGAGTCCTTTTATCTAGGATCTCTTTCTTAGCCTTGGGGGGAACAGGCGGCATGCTGCGGCCGCCTGCAAGAAGGGGCGGATTCCTGTTCCACCTGTTGAAGCGCTTGTTCAGCTCTGTGTCTGAACTCTCAATGATAAGGAAGGTGCTCCGCCAGTCCTTCCATTTGTTTGCTTTACCTCTCGTCATGAGGTAGCCCCTGTGGCTCGTCAATTGATACCAGCCGGTACCGCCTGCCTTAGGGGTCCGGCTGAGGTAGTTCATGTGGGCGAAAGCCTCGAAGTTTGGCTCCACCCCGTGCAGTTCGCACCCGGCCACATAGCCGAGTACGTTGACCCAGGAGTTCGGGGCTAACTGCCATAACCCCAACTCATACCCATCCAAGATCCGCTGAACAACCGGATGTAGTGGGAAGCGCAGCCCAGCCTTGATGGCCGCCTCGTAGCAGCCAAAGCAGGCGCCATCATAACTGGTACCAGCCGGCCAGACGACTGTGTCTTCTGGATCCGGCACGAACACTAAAAAGCCGGGGCCCATTGTGTGGTTTGCTATAAAGCTCTCCACTTTCTCTTGCATGGCCGTGATCCGGCCCCGAGGTACTGTGCAGTAGTAGGGGGTATTTTGCTCTCGGTGAGAGGCGGATGGCTCCGCCCAATCGTCCCCCTTCTCAATTGCGTGAGAAAGCCTCGCCTCTTGTAGGCGACTGTTTTTCTCTTCTGTGTCCAGAGAAGCATGGCCAAAAGAGCTAGACTCGGATTCGTCCTCTGACGAGTCCGAAGAGGACGACTCCTCCCCTCTCCCGGAGGGGCCCGCCTCCTCTCCTTTCAAAGGAGCAGGAGAGAATGTAGAATTGTCAACTGTAAAATGGGAAGGGGTCACTTTGACTCCTCCCTCAGAACTGCCGGCTTTCAAGCCGCTTTGTTTCACTTCCACATCTGGCGCCTGGTCAGATGTTTCACTAATCGGCACCCTGTGGGAGGAGCCGTCTGAGTTTGAGATCCTGGCAGTCTTTTTTGTTCTAGCCATCATGCTCTGCATAGACACAGATACAGTCGGACTTTGTATAAAGGGCAAAGATGGGTCCAGAAAAGGGCAGGCGGCACTCCTAGTCCTAGATTCAGCCGTCCCCGGTGACCGGCTGATCACTAACCTAGGTCGTGTCGTGTGTTTCCGTGGTGCCATTTCAAAAAAGAAATAAAGTAAAGAGAAAATTAAGAGTAAGAGAACCGACGGTTACCTGAACGAGTGACGATTGATGAAGTTCTGAAAATCCTTTGCAGTCGGCTTGTCAGAGCAGGCGGTAGGCAGAAAGGGTCCAAAATGTCAGAGCAAGTTCAGGGGTCCGAATGTTCTCTCACAAAGTTTTCAAGTGTGAAAATGACCGAAGTCAACACTCCTTTATATAGGCGAAGTGAGAAGGCGAAGGGTCACTTCCAGAATTCAAAATTTTGGCGGGAGAATCTCTCGGCCTCTCGCCGAGTGACACCTGTAGCAGGCCGTCGCCTGTTACAGGGCGACACCTGTCACAGGTAACACGTGACCAGTCACGTGCCACCTGTGAGGGGCAAATGATTAGGGGATTTTGCTCCCACCAATCGGAATGCGCCACGTGGGCCAATCAGGTCCTGCCAAGTGTCCCCCAGTTGGACCTCTTAGGGCTTGCCACGTGGCACACGCTTATTCGTCCACCCTGGACTTATTATGTCATGACACGTGGCATACTCCATGCCTAATGGAGAAGCCGGTCACCTAGGCCCAACTTCCGAGGGAAGCCCAATCAGCCCAAGGTTAACCTAAACCTAGATTGGCACGTTTCCCGAGGTTATAAATACCTCCCTTAATCCTCATTAAGGGAGATGACGCAGATTACACACATAAAACACTCTCACCTAGAGAGACCCAATCACTTTAATTTCCGCATTAATTACTCCTTAATCAAGTACTAACTTGACCGAAGGAGGCGGATCTCCAATCATCCGGAGCATCCGTTTGTTTTGCAGGTACAGGCGTTCGGTTCCAGTCTCGGAATTGTAACTCTCCCGCAGGACATCAGAAAACCCCGAAACACTGTTCTTCTTCCAGTCAAGAAGAGGAAAGTTTAATCCATCTTTTTAGAGATTGTCCTAGAGCTGTTGAGTTTTGGCAAATAATTTTTAAGAAGATAAAAAAACAAAAAAAATTTAACAATAATGTGTTATTCGAGGACCCTTGGAAGGATTAGATTTCTTATAATCTTAGCTTGTCTGAGAAGTGGGTTACTACTTATATTCTGGCTCTGTGGCATCTTTGGAAAGCTAGGAATATGTCAATATTTGAGAATGTCATGCTCTCAAAAATCAGTTTACTCAATGGTTTTATAATTGATCACCAAATCACTAACCATGTTCTGCAGGATGTTGTTTAGGGAAAAGGGAAAGGCATTGTTGTTCCAAGATCACCTAGGTGGGTTGGTCCTCCACCAGGTTTTGTTAAGTTAAGTGTAGACGGAGCCTGGAAGAGCTCAACTGATGCTGCTGGGGGTGGAGTTATCAGGACCCCTTCTGGAGGCTGGTACATCGGGTTTTCCAGTAAATACAATGCCATCACCCCATTAGCAGCTGAGTTGTATGCAATAAGGGAAGGTCTGGAGATGGCAAAGGAGTTCAAGATCAAATTCATGGAGGTTGAAACAGATGCTGAGGTTTTGATTCGTATGCTATCATCAACCACTACCAATCCTCATCATGAAGTTGCAGCTGTGCTTTTGGATGTTGCTCAACTTCTCACACTGAAGAGCTGGACCATCTATATGGTCCACATCCCTAAGGAGAGGAATAAAGTGGCTCACAGACTAGCTCAGTATGCCATGAACAAGGACTTAGGCCACAAGATGCACTTCTCAGTTCCTGATTGCGCCAGAGTCGAAGTTGAAGCAGACTTGGCAGACATTCACGCTGCTAACTAATTCTAGTCTGAATGTAATTTTTTGCCCCCTGATATTCTATAGCAGTGTATGTGTATAAAACTAAGGGTAGTATTTTTGGGTACCACAACCCTAACAAACTTTATCTTTGTACGATTTATACTCATTATGGAGAGTATAATCTCCTTGGAGATCTTATTACTCCTTGAAGACAATAGCCTAATATAATATTTCGTCGCTTTGTGTTAAATAAAAAGATATACCAAAAAAAACCGTCATAAAATACCAACATAAACTGCGAATTAGGCATATCCCCACCCCGACTCGCTTAAAATCTGGCGTCATAGGTTTTCCACAGACGGTGCCCTAGTTCTGTGGCATTCTTCCAACATTTCGACCTTTCTCGATTTCCCGCTTTTCTCTCTCCTCTTTTCCCTCCACTACCTTCTTCTTCAAAAATCTTTATTTTCAGACAAACTTCTGCTCTATCTGCCTCTGCATTTTTAGTTATTCAATGCTCTTCTAGCTTTCTTCAATGGCGGGAGGTCGATTGACGCATTTTCTCCGTCGCTATTCGTCCAAGCAAACCATTTCTCAGGTTAGGGTTTTACTCTTAAACCCTATTTGTCATCTTCACAATTATTTGTCTTCTAATTCGTATTCGTTCTTAAGAGTGTCATCGTTGTCATTACTGCCAAAATTTAATTTGTATGGTGTTAAGGCATTTTCGACTTTTGATGAAACTGATGTTAATGAAAGAAAAGATGATAATGTTATTGATACGAGTTATATAGATGCTAATAATGATGGTTTAATTGATAATAATATCATAAATGAGCATGATGTTGATGTTGGTCAGTTAAGTTTCTATGAAGGGTTTGAGCATGTTGCGTCAATTGACCCCGTAGAAATTTATAGGCAGCTTTGTGAGTTGCCCCGGGATGGGAATCTAGGCAGGGAGGATTGGGAGTTGTTGCATGATATATTTGGGCAGTTTTTGCGTTCTGCTTGGGCAACGAATCAAGCTTTAGCTATATACATTGGGGCGTCGTTTTTTCCAACTGCGGTACATAAATTCAGGGGTTTTTTCATAAGACATTGCCGTAATGATATCGCTAAGTACTTGCTTTCTTTGGGACCGAGTGATGAAGCGGAGAGGTTTTTGTTTCCTGTGTTTGTTGAATTTTGTCTTGAACAGTTTCCTGATAAGATTAAGAATTTTCGAAGTATGGTTGAGTCTGCTGATCTTACCAAACCCCACACTTGGTATCCCTTTGCAAGGGCAATGAAACGCAAAATTGTTTATCATTGTGGACCTACTAATAGTGGGAAGACATATAATGCTTTGCAACGGTTTATGGAAGCAAAGAAAGGGATATATTGTAGTCCACTCAGGTTGTTGGCGATGGAAGTTTTTGACAAGGTTAATGATCTTGGTGTTTATTGTAGTATGCTTACTGGACAGGAGAAGAAAGTTGTGCCCTTTTCTAATCATGTTGCCTGTACGGTTGAAATGGTGTCGACTGACAAAGTGTATGATGTTGCTGTTATAGATGAGATACAAATGATGGCTGATTCTTGCAGAGGATTTGCATGGACTAGGGCATTATTAGGGCTAAAGGCTGATGAAATACATCTATGTGGCGATCCAAGTGTATTAAAGATTGTTCGGAAAATTTGTTCAGATACAGGAGATGAGTTGCTGGAACAGCACTATGGTAGATTCAAACCGTTGGTGGTTGAAGCTAAGACATTGCAAGCGGATCTTCGAAATGTAAAGTCTGGTGACTGTGTAGTTGCGTTCTCCAGGAGGGAAATTTTTGAGGTCAAATTAGCTATCGAAAAGCAAACTAAGCACCGTTGTTGTGTTATTTATGGTGCTTTGCCACCGGAGACTCGCAGGCAGCAAGCTACTCTGTTTAATGACCAAGATAACGAATTCGATGTCTTAGTTGCTAGTGATGCTGTAGGAATGGGTTTGAATCTTAACATAAGAAGGGTAGTTTTCTATACCCTGTCAAAGTACAATGGGGACAAGGTTGTTCCCGTTCCAGCCTCACAAGTGAAACAAATTGCAGGTAGGGCTGGTAGGAGAGGAAGTATCTATCCAGATGGTCTTTGCACTACTTTGAATATGGAAGATCTTGATTATCTAATTGAATGTCTAAAACAACCTTTTGAGGATGTTGAGAAAGTGGGTCTATTTCCATGTTATGAGCAAGTTGAGTTTTTTGCGGGGAAACTACCTAATACAACTTTTGCTCAACTTCTTGAAAAGTTTGCTGAAAATTGTCGCCTTGATGGATCTTACTTCTTGTGTCAACATGCTGGTATAAAGAAGGTGGCTAATATGTTGGAGAAGATTCCGAGTTTATCACTTGAAGATCGCTATAATTTTTGCTTTGCTCCTGTTAACATTCGAGACCCAAAGGCAATGTATCATCTCCTAAAGTTTGCTTCATCATTTAGTCAAAATCTTCCTGTCAATATAGCTATGGGCATTCCTAATAACTCTGCTAAAAATGATTCAGAGCTATTGGATCTTGAGACTAAGCACCAAGTTTGTTCTATGTATTTGTGGTTGTCAAACCATTTTAACGAAGAGAAATTTCCTTATAAGCTAAGGGCAGAATCTATGGCATCTAATATTGCTGAATTGCTGGGAGAATCTTTAAGTAAAGCAACGTGGAAACCGGAATCGAGAGGACCAAATAGGAAGAAGCCTGAACAGAAGGATGGATATGAAAGACCACAGTCACTTATACAAATATTTGACAAGTAAGTTTTATTCTTTTATATATTTGAGATAATCTTCCTGCCTATATTCAGAATACTAGTTTAAGTATCTTTAAGTTATGAGTTATGGCAAATGTTAGATCTTCCTTATAATTGTGCATGTAATTGTATCAGTGTACTTGATTATTCTGGTGTTGACTCTTTAAATCAAAAAGTAACCATGAACGGACTTTCTGCATGTGTATTATGATTCAGTCTGGACTAGATAGCTTTCAAATTATCTATGCTATGGTGTCAATTACTATTAAAGAATTTTATAGTATGGTGTCAATTTGATTATTCATCAGTACATTTTGTATATTCCACTATTTCTGTTTTCATCTTATTTTTCTACGCCATGATAACTAATTGGATTGCAAGTGAAGCAACACTGCTCATGATTTTCATGAGTGATTTTATGATAAACATTTGAAAAAGAGCTACAGTTGAACTGATATATCAATCTTATTACGTTTTGAAATGGCAAGTATATTTCTTCTCATCTATGCAGTATGCAGTGCCTTTAACCTTTAGTCATTATGCTCAAATTAGTCATTAATGAATAATGGATATGTTATAGCTAGCATTAGATACATTTGGGCAAGCCATTAAAAACCATAGATTTTTTCCTTGTTTATGAAAACTGTGCCATAGGTGAAGGCCATAGCGAATCCACCTTCCGTGCAATTTCTAGAAAGTGCGAAAAGGAATACGCCTCTCAGTGCTTTTACAAGTTGAACGCTGCAGTGCCTTTGATGATTTGTGGTATGCAGCACATCTTGGTACATCTTCCTGTAAATTCTCGAAAGAAAAGCTGGAAAATTGATTAAATATTAGTATAGTACTTGGCATTTAAATTACAGTAATTGAGTGAGACACGTTAACTAAATGCATGAATTGTCGTCTGTTTTAAACATATAAATTCCCAATTTGGGAGTAAATCCCTAATTATTAAATACCCAAATTGAACAAAACCTAAAATTGAGTAGCAGTATAGTTCGGCATGGCTTTGATGGTCAAACATTTTTCTGTTTAGTACTTTAGTCTCTCCCTTTGATCTTTTTTCCTTCTCTCTCTCTGATCTTTTTCCCTCTTCACGAGTCTCCTATCATTTTTTTACTTCTTTCTTCATTAGTTTTCACTTCTCTCTGAAGATCTGTTTCTGAATCTGCAATGCTCTTTTTCCTTTCATTTGGTTAAAAAAAAATGTCATTGATAATCCCAACATTGAGAGACCTTCTCATATTGGTCAAACCTTTCAAAAATTTTAATATAATCCCAACTTTTGCATCCATCTTCTTATAATGTACAACAACATTCACAGCTTTAATCCCAAAGATGAGGTCAGGTACATGAATCAAGGTTTTATCTCATGTACTCACTAACCATGATCCTTGTTCAATGTTGCCCTTGCAAACCCAACTAGTTTATGTCCTTCTAAACTCCTTTCGCTCAAGTCATCTTTGGTCTTCTTCTTCCTCTCATGAGATCTCCTTGATCGCAACCTTGTGCTTTCCTTACTGGTGCATCTTCTGATTTACGTTTGACATGCCTAAACCAATTCCGTCAGTTCTCCCTAGTGAAAAATGACTGGTTATAGCAGGTGAAAATCTTTTGTGATAGTTCCATGGGAAGCCTATTCTCGTCATCTTCTTCTCCTTATCCTTTTCTCTCTCTTCCTCCTTTTTCTCTCTTCTTTAGAAAGGCCTACTAAATCAACCCAAAAGAGTCTCAATGGTGAATAAGATTGGTTTCTGCAAAGAAGTTTAAATTTCGATATTTAGGCTTATGATTTGAAATATAGTCCTTAGTTATGTTTCACAAATAATGATATGAATTAAATTATTTAAAAGGTCCTAATTTTATGAAAATTGAAGCTACTTTTTATTCCTTAATTTACACCATCAATAATGATCCTTTCGTGTAAAACTTGGAGCTAGAAAATCAATCATGAAAAAAGCTTTTTCAAGTTGTAACAACGGCGGTAACTATTTTACCTAAACCTTTTATAAAATAGTGATTTTAACTATAATATGTATGTTTTTAATCACCTTCTATTTCCGCAAATAGTTCAAACAACTTACCACTGAAGAATGACAAATAAAATTGGAGTTTGCAAATAATTTTTTTGCAATTGTTGCAGCTTCCATCAGTGGCAATATTATCTTCTATTTTTGTCGTATGTATGCTTTTGCCCAAAAAAATACTTCCTCCATTTCACAAATATTACAACTATTACGAGTTTAATAAGTTTCACAAATGTTGCAACATTTCCTATTTGCACAAGTTTTCTCTCATTCTCTTTCCTCATCACATTGGTCCATTTATTTATTTCTCTCTATCTCTCCCCTCTAGTCCCCCACCCATGTTGCAATATTAGGGAACGAAGGAAGTATGTTTTTGTAGCTCTTTAATAAGAAGTTTCTTTGTTATGTCAATTTAGTAAATATTAAAAAACTAGTATGCATGAAAGTCTTTGGTCCAGGCGTTGAGAATTGATATAATCTTTCAAAATGGCTGGTTGCAAGAATTGTTTTTCCACATTTTGCATGATTCTTAAATTTTGAACTTTTATTAGCCAATTAAGTTAAAAAGAAAATTATATCATGACTTGTTCCTCCAAAAGTATGTTGTAGGGAGCTACAAGTATATTATACCATCCAATTATCTTAGTGTTAGAGAGTAGAGACTAGGCGCTCTTGTTTGTTATTAAATTTGGGGTTAAATGTAAGTAGCTTTACCCCCATCTTTAAAGACCAGTGACAATTTGACAATAGATAATTTGGGATGAGTAGTAACTTTTTGTTGTTGTAAAGTTATTCTTTGAAAATTTGTACTTTTAGCATACACCAATATTTAGATATGTGATGTTTTCTAAAAATGTTAATGAAAATATTGTATGTTCTTGTTGGCTTTAGTGAATAAGATGTAAGTGGGGTAGTGGGTAGTTGGGGCATTAAAAAAATTATAAGAAAGGATAGTGGAGTTAGCATTTTGTAGAAAAGTAAGGAATGTGAGAGGGAAAAAAATAATACTACCTCAATTAATTGTTATCTGCAACTTTGGATTACAATTATCGGAGGTAGTAATAAAAATTTAGTAGTTGGTTTGAGTGATTACCATGAGAGGAGATGTAATATTAAATTATAGTAGTTTGCTAAAGATGAAATGGAACACTTTATAAAAAGCGGTTGCATTTAGTGACTCTAGCACTTAAAAAACGGAGGGAGTATTACTTATAACTATATGTCTTAAGTCATAATTGGTTATTAAGTATAAAAATGCGTTGGGATGGGGGGAGTATCATATAAGGTAGTGTTCTCTTCACTTGAATTTCACTTATCTTATATACCTTTTATTTTAAATTAAATGGTCTAGTCAAACTAGGCACGTATGCCAATGTAAATGTTTTCTTAATAAAATAAGAAACTATTAGAAAATTTATATATAGAAACTATATAGTGAGACTATTTTTACAAGTACCCGCATGATTGTTTATTTATTTATATTTATTTATAAGTCATTAACATTGGTCAATGTGGTTTATGTAAGTAGTGCAAAAAGATAAAATGAGACATTTAATTTTAAACGGAGGGAGTATTATCCTATCTTATTTGCGTTTAACATTTCATTTATCTTATTTAAACCTACTAACCTTTATCTTAGCTTTTCATAACTTGTCAACCCGTATTTTACATTATCATATCTAACTTATCAACCCTATTAGACATTATTGGAACATATTAATCATTATCTTATAGTATCAAACTGATCAACCCTTATCTTTTTTATGTGCAATATTTGAAATCTTACACTATCCACACACACACTACTTTAATTGCCTTTAGTAATTATATGTTTGAAAAAGTATAGTCAAGTGGGTTTGCTAGATTTATCTCGAATATACTTTTAAAATTATCACCTTGTTATAAATTTTAGGATATAAACGTTATAAAATTTGCATTGGCTAGTGCAAAATTTCCAACGTTGCAATTAAAAAAAACAAAGGAGGTATGAAATAAGTGAAAATATGGTGTAGAGAACAGAGCCTAAGTCCTAAAACTTTAAATTTTGATACCACTCCTGACAGAGCATTAGACTGTGTTTGTTAAGTAGTAAGCAAGAACATAAGTATGGATTTATAAATTGGTCATTTAAAAACATTATTTCTACAAGGTAGTTGTTTGACAAAACTTTCTGTTTAATTGTTAATGTTTAGTACATGCTTGACTTTGTTCTAGTTCCCTTGTTTTACATGGGTGACACCACCTTAATGTCCTACTGATATGAGAATCAAACCTTTCTATGTTTTTTAGTGGGATTGTAGGATGGAGGGTACTTCTAATAAAGATTAGGTGGGGCAGGGAGTGAGGAGAAGGGAGAAGGAGAGGGAGATAGAAGCATCACATAACTTTGTAAGACCATTATTCTATAGGGCATGTCATAAAGTTGTATCTTTATTTTCTTTTTTTTTTACCCTAATTTAATCCTGGTTATGTATCCTCTTCTTTTTTGCTAGTAATTTTCTGTTTTATAATGTTGGTAAAGGTTTTGGGTGTCATTATTGTTAATTACTAGTACAATTGTATGAGTAATATGCAATGAGTTGATTAAAAGCAAGATTGGTGCTATTTTTAACTAGTAGTAGCTGAAATCCTCGACTGTTCTTATATTAAAGTAATGTCCTTGATAGTAATTTGAGGGTTGTTGACTTGTTCAACTATTACTGATGATATGTTGCATGATATTACAGTACCTGATGTCTATATTTCTCATACAAAAAGCTACTTGTGAAACTTTTTTGCAGGAAAAGGCAAGATCAGTCCTTGGCACAGGATAAATCTGACAAATCTAAGAAGGTACTTGCATAGCTTACTTGGTATGTTCTCCATTGGACTTTATTAAGCATGCTTTCTTTTTAAATCCTGTATTTTGAATGTTTCATTGATGATGTTATGGATAATTGGCTTGATGCTTTGAGTTTAATGGTAAATATGTTTGAAGTAAGATGGACTTGCCAAATACTGTCTTTATTCTGGTTATAGTCCTCATATGCTGGTAATATGTTCAGCTGTTTGGGTTTTCTTTTACAGAATTCTTTCTCTCGATGTGGTAACCTGTACCTGTGTGCTTGCTGGATGAAACATTGGGCATAGTGTGTGTGTTTGTGTGTTCATTTTGGGTGTCAACAGAATAGAAACTTTGCATATGTGTCACTCATGTGGATCCTTATCCACTCACCCCTATCCACAATATCCCTAATTAATTCAGGACCCTATTTACCCCTCCTGTTTTGGGTTAATGTTTTTTTTTTTTTTTTTTTTTCCTTTGATATCATCATGTCATCACTGTTCTAACTTTTTAAATCAATGTCAGGTCAGACAATAGCTTCTCCACTTTAATTCTATGTTAGATCTTTTTCAGTAGATGCACCTCACATATCTGCCATGTCCATATTTCAGACATGATTTTTCTGTAACATTCTAATTTGTATAGATGAATATCAGTTTTATAAAATTTTCCTTTTAGGCCTTGCATGGTATGGATGGACTCATTACCAGGGGGAATTGATACTGGTGGACTAATTAAGGAGAAGGGATTACTCAGGAGTTAGTTTTGATAAGGTTTGGCATGAGCTAAACAAATAATGGGGTAATAACTTCTTGATTTTGACGAGAGAAACAATTTTATCTTCAACTCAAATTGCAACTAAATCCTGTAATAGATTCAAGAATCAAATTGCAACGACGCTAATTGAATTCAACAACATATTTTTAAAATATAGAAGCAAACTGATAAATTTTATCAAATGCTACTTTGACATTCAACATCAAATTAAAGCTGCCAAAAAAAAAATAAAATTTAAATGTATAAAAATTATGAGGTGAACTGAGTTAATTATGCACTAGAATCACTACTTCAAATTGTGGTTTTTCCATACACAATAAAAAAAATGTACACTTATTTACAATATTGCCACTAGATTGACAAAATTTATCAATCACAAAGATTAGGAAATTTTTTAAATTGCCACACAAAAATGTAACCATTTTCGAAATAACCACCCGTTTAGTTTTTTATTTCAAATTACCACCCCTTCAATTAAATAAATGCTCAGATTACCACTCATTTTAAAAATCTGGTGGATCTTTCGTCTGCGGGCCCCACCTAACGCTTATTTTGACCCTTTTAACTGATTTTTTTTTTCCTGATTTTTCTCTTTAAAAACGCTCTTCTAACTTCAATTCACAATTTCTCTTTGAAATTTGGTAGAATTTGGTGAAGGAAATGTGAATTAAAGTTTAGAGAGCGTTTTTAAAGAGAAAAATCGGGAAAAAATAGTCAAATGGGTCAAAATAAGTGTTAGGTGGGGCCTACATACGAAAAATCCACCTGATTTTTGAAATGGGTTGTAATATCAGCATTTATTTAATTTACGGGGTGATAATTTAAAATAAAAAATTAAATGGGTGGTTAGTTCGAAAATGGTTACATTTTTTTGTGGTAATTTAACAATTAACCTTAAGATTAACTTGAATTTTCTCAAAGCTTATAACCTAACTGGAAATTTAACATCTCAATCAGAATTTCGATGCAGGTTTCTTGAAAGTCTTTTTTTTTTTAAAAAAAAGAAGGGTTTTTCTAAACTATGTCGTTAAGGTTGTTGAGTTTCTTAGGGGTGTTCATGCTTTTTGGAAATTACAAGATGTCCTCTCCAACTTAAGGTGTTTATTTTACCGTACTCTTTGACATTAACCGAACGTTAGTAGTTGTAATAATTGTTAATTACCCCACTTTGAAGAGAAATTTGACAGCCCTAATTAAGGGGATTAACATTAAGCATTTTTTCCCACATTTTTTATTCTACTTTTTCTTCTTTCTTCTAAAAGCAACCATTGATATATCAAGCTCTTGGTGTAATTCTTCTTTTTTTTCATCCGCTTCTTATTACTTCCCATTTTTTTACAATTACTAAAGTTGTTCAGGGTATGATTGATTGAACAACTTAAATTAGAGGGTACAACTTGTAATTTTGAAAAAGCATAAGCACACCTTAGAAACTCAACCACATCATGGGCATAGCTTAGAAAAATCCAAAAAAGAAAAAGAAAAAAAAAATTGAATAAAAAGATGGGAATAAATGTCCTATTCATGAACATGGAAGATATTTTCATTTGATAATTTAATAGAAAATTTGTCAAAAATAACACCATCTTTAGGCGGTCTTTCAATAATAGCACCACCTTTTGATTATTCCATAATAGCACCACCTTTCACATGTATTTGCCAAAAATGAAACAAAACCGGTTGGTAACCAGTTTTACTGGTTACCTGTGACACGTGTCACCATGTCATTGGTCAATTATTTTTATTAAATTTTTTTTTAAAAAACCTAAGTAATTAAAAAAAAACCCACCACCTATCCTCCCTGCCCCCACCCTCGCCGCCGATCGACCTCCCAAGCCTTCCCCCTCCCTTGAACGACACCCCTACCTCCACCCATTCCCCCGCCCTTGAACAATTCACCACCGAAACTTTAGCCTACAAATTAGGGAGAGAAAGCCGAAATTGAAAAGGGAAGGAGGGAGGGGGCCGAAATTGGAAAAGGGAAGAGGGGAAAGGGCCGGAAGGGGGTAGGGAAGGGGAGAGGGTGGTGCAAAGGGGTCGATAAGGGGAGGAGGGTGTCGTAAAGGGGTAGGAAAGGGGAGGGGAGGGGGTGACGGAAATGGGTCGGTAAAGGGGAAGGGGTGCTGGAAAGGGGGTCGGAAACTAAGATGGGGACCGGGAAAAGGGTTGTTTCAGGTGGATGGTCTTGGTGGGGGTGGTGGATGCCGGTGAAAGGTGGTGGATGCTGGTGAAAGTCGTGTGAGGGGGGGGGGTTATTTATTTTTTTTGTTTTTTTAAGTTTTTACAAAATCAAAAATAAAAATAAATAAATTGACCAATCAAACTAGAACACGTGTCCCAGGATTACCTGTAAAACAGGTTACCGGTTTTTTGTTTCATTTTTTTTGGCAAATACATGTGAAAGTGGTGTTATTCTGGAATAATCAAAATTTGGTGCTATTATTGGATGACCACCCAAAGGTGGTGTTATTTTTGACAAGTTTTCCTAATTTAAAAGGAGGAAAAAGCCAGATTATGCATATATAGAAGAAAGAGAAAGGATGACTGTTGGTAGCCTGGTAGGGAGAATTGGAAACAGAGGCAGAATGAAGAAATGTGGATTAAAATTTTAAACAGGAACAGATTACACTAGGGGTTGGGTGGGTAGGTAGTGTATTACCCTTCTTTCAAGGGTAAACGTTCAGGCCCAAATCTTTCCCCTCATTCCAGGCTTCTTTTGTAGCACCATAATAATTAACAATGATTTAATCTAGCCCATTAACTGCAATCTAGGAAAGGCCTTATAGAAATACTCTGGTCACACAAAAAAATTCATACTATTCCTTTCATTCAAGTCATATAAAATGCTGTGCGAGACATATTCTCAATGATTAGTTGTCCTTGATTATGCATAACATTGCATCAGAACTTTTCGTCAACAAGTTAGTGTTGAATGCTTATATAAATGCTCTTTTGTGCTTATGTATGATGTTTCTTCTTTGATATGAAACACATCATCCACCCAAAACATACGTGTCTTTGAGCCCCACTAATTGTGTTATTGTTGGGCTTTCTATACTTGACACTTGCTTTAAATGTTCGATATATCTCCTTACTTTAAGTGTCGGTGCCTCCATGATTATGTGATAGTGTAAGTTGAATTAGTGAATATTCTGCAAAGAGGTAGGATAATATGATGATTGCTTCCCAAGGAGTTGACTAGGTATGCTAAATAAGTTTCTGCTGCTAGTGATTTAAGTACCTTTTACAGCAAGACTCCATGTGACTGTCCCCTTCGGTACCTTTTACAGGTTTTTTATCTTCACAATATGATGGGATTAATGTGTGATCTGGTTTGATTTTCACTCTATTTTATAGGGCTACCTTGGAGAAGAACGAAAACCAATCTGCTTACATTAATTATACACGGGAGATTTGAGAAGACATGTAGCAGAAGTTGGGGGAACAAACGTAAGTCTTGGTTCATTTCAGCATGAAGAACCTATTGATCTGCCTAGTTGTGACAATGCTATTCATAGAAACTGGGTCAGCAGTTTGGGGAACAATATTGATAGGCGCACCTATTATGTGGAAATACAGTACTACACTTTACACCAATCAAGCTATTTACGTGCTCACAGAGTAGATAAATGTCTAATCGGAACATATATATATATATACATATATATATATATATACATACATATATATATATATATGTCCAGATGAATGAAATCTGGGGACTTGTCACTTTGCCCTTCCTTAGTTTTGCAATTTCGGTTAAAGCTTGGTGGTGAAAGAGGAATTCCTGACCATTGTTTCTTAAGATTGTTATTATACTATATATACTAGTACTCTAGTAGGTGTTAATTGTGTAATATGCTTCTGATTCTGATTAACTTGCTTTGGTCAGGCTGATGTTCAGATTTGCCGACTATTGTTTTTTGTTTGGATAGTCTGAAAGGCGTTTCTTGTTGTCAGATAAAATTCTGTCAACAATGATTTTTGAGTTTAATTATTTATTTATTTATTTTTTAATTTTTTTGACAAAGAGAACTAGAAAACAAAAAAACTAGAAAGTAAAATAAAGCAAATCTCTACAACTAGCAGCCACAACAAGAGAATGAGCCCCATCCACTGAAGTTCGTGAGGCCTTCTGAATATGACAAGTAGAAACTCCTGAACAATCCATATCATCGAAATATTAGAAGATCCGAACTCAACAAGCAACCGAGGAATGAGCATACAGTTAGTAAGAAGACTAATCCGTGTAAAACCCCGTTGACAAGCATGCTTAAGACCAAATATACAAGCCTGCAACTCAGCATGAACCGCGGTTTTTGCCATGCAAGCCCGGGCACCACCCCCCACGTACTGAGAACAGTAGGGGTCCCATCAACACCAACTTGTACCTGCATTATGATTCACTTGATCCCAGGCCCCATCAAAACACATAAAAATGTCACAGGTCATTTGAAGGCCGCCTCGAAGAATTTGACTCATAGAAGGGCAACAAAACCCAGGGGGAAGACTCTCAGAATAATCTGATAAATCGCAAGCCTTTCTACTTTTGTCACTCCAATTAAAGGCTAGCTTCAAGACATACAATGGAGAATAGACCGCGGACTGAAGATCATATCAGTTTTTGGCTTTAACATAACTTGAAATAACCCCCGTAAACCAGTCATGAAAAGGGAGAAGATCATAAGGCTCGGGAAGTGAACCCCAAATAATAGAATCCCACCGACGATAGGAAAATGGACAATCCTGAAATAAATGTTCCACCGATTATGAAGAAACATGACAAAACGCACAAACCGAATTAGAGGGAATGCCTTTACGGACCAACAATTCCGTCGTAGGAATAGCATTATGTAAGACCTTCCATGTCAGTAATTGCCACTTTGGAAGCACAAGCAAACCCCATAACCTTTTCCACCATGAAGACAGAATTGAAGTGGTAGACGGGGGTAGAAACTGATAGGTATAGGCAGATTTGGTAGAAAAGGAAACATCTCTTGTGTATTTCCAATACACAAAGTCGTCAATTTTCCGTATCAATCTCTCCAAACCAAGAATTGCCGAAGCTACAAAATCAGGGAAAAGATGCCTAACCAGAGACGCATCCCAAGCACCAGCATCTGGAAGTAACAACTCAGAAACCATCGAAGGACATTCTTGTTTAGGAATACAATCCTTAAAGCAATCTTGACATTAGGCACCCAACAATCCCGCAAAATGCTAGCATTCTCTCATGAGCCTATTTTCCAAGCCAAACCCTTGACTAAAGCTAATCCCCCTTCTGCCGAACCTCGACTTCCCCAAGAAGGACGAGGACAAGAAATAGATGGGTTGGAAGAAAATAAAGAAGGATACTTAGCTTTAAGGACCTAAGAAGCTAAGAGCTAAGCCTTGATATGTCTATTTTATATGGTGTTTTACCCCCGTCCCATGGTCGTAATTAGTAGTGTTTTTAGCTCGTTGGAGCCACTTTTATTACTAATTGGTGTTTTCTAGTGTTTTCGTAGTTTCGGTTGAGTTTTGTAGGGAATTGCATCTTTGAAGCTTTGTCCCGGGATTATTGCGATGCAACTACGAGCATTTCAAGGCACAACCAATTGCTTTTGGAAACCGAGTATTCAAGACCCGAAGTGGAGATTCGAATTGGGCCAAGAATGGAGCCCAATCCAAGTCTACCATATAGCCGGGCCCGATCGGGCAAGCTTTAGCCCGATCGGGCGGATGCCCAGAACAAGAGGGCGAAGAAAAAGGTAGGCCCGATCGGGCACGTGTTTCTGGGGAGGCATCTTCGGCGATTCCTTAGTTTCTAATTAGGAGTAATTTTGGATTATTGTATAAGTACGATTTTAATGCTTTTGCTTAGGACCTCTTCATTTAGACTTTCTCTCTCTACTTAGCTTAAGATTAGTTTCTCTCTCTTCAACATTGTTCTGTATTTTTGTTCTTAATTCAACTCCCTAATTCCGATTACTTTGGTAACAATTTTTTCTATTTTAATCTCATTTATTTTACTTTATTTTCTTTCATCATTTTTCCTTTAATTGCTTTGTTTAGTTTATGTTTAATTATGTGTGAGTAGTTTTCTTTCTAGGGTTTGTGGGGATCCATAAATAATACGAAGGGGTAAATTATTATTGTTGATTATCAATGCTTGATTAATTTCCTATTGATTGATTTAATGCTACGCAAGTAGATTAGGCCTAGTTTAATTGTATGAGTTTAGCAATATTGATTCGAGATTCAAGAGATGAGAATTGATGTTTAGGCTTAGTTTCAATAGGCGGACTAATTTATAAATGGTTAAGTTGAGATTCGAGAGATGAGATGTGATACCGGTAAATTAACTCTATGATTGTAATACGTAGCGAAAGCCCTTTATGATCTGGTTAATTGATGCATTGATGATTGATTGTTATGTTTTACCCTGAAATATTGTTTTTTGGTGAACCTATGCCCTAGGCTTTTATTTCATTGATTTCCCTCCTACTTTTATTCATTCCCACTTATACTCTAAGTAGTTTAGTTCCCTTTTATAATAACAATTTGGTTACTTGATAATTTAGATTATTTTGATTAATTAGGAATAAATTAACTCGTTTCCCTGTGGTTCGACCCTTCTTCTCTATCTACATAGTTAGTGGATTTAGATATTATTTTTGATTGGGTGATTACGGCTTTAGCCTGTCAAAATTTGGCGCCGTTGCCGGGGAAACAGATTTATTTTTTTTCTGATTATTTTTGTAGTCTAGATTATCCCCTCTTGTCTCAGAGGACGTTAGTTCTTTGGGGCAATTCTCATATTTGTCTTTTAGTTCTTTGTTTATGCCCAGGCGTTCCAGATTAGGTTACATTCTATTCGATCATGAGATCGAGCGCTCTTTCCATAGACAAAAGAATCTCTATAGACAAATCCTGGCGGGCTCTGAGGAAAACAATAATCGAAGAGACCCTCCAATTGATTCCAGTGATTCAGAAATCCCTTCAGATTTAGAATCAGAGATGGCAGCACCTAAGAAGCTCAGCGATTATTCGCAGCCAACCCTGACAGATTTTCCACATCTTACTCCTACTCCGGCCCTTGACGGAGTGCAATTTGAAATCAAACCCCAATTTATCACAATGATAGAGAGGAAGCAATTTAGTAGAGCTAAGGGTGAAGATCCTAATCTTCACATTGCAGATTTCTTCCAGTATTGCAACACCATTAGACAAGCTGGGGTCACGCAAGACCAAATCAGGGAGATTCTTTTTCCCTTTTCATTATGTGGAAAAGCTAAATTATGGTTTAATAGATTGAATAGAACTACACTTGGTATTACTGACTGGGAAACTCTTACCTTGAATTTTTATAATAAATATTACCTTGCAGAGAGAACAGCTATACTAAGGAGTGCTATTCAAAAATTTGCCCAAGAGGCCGATGAAACTCTATATGAGGCTTGGGAGAGGTTCAAGGATCTACAGAGAGAACGCCCCCACCATAATCTGGCACAATGGCAGTGGATCCAAGCCTTTTACAATGGACTTGGAAATTCATCTAGATCAATTCTAGATTCTACAGCTAGTGGGAGATTCATGAATCTTAACGTGGAAGATGCAACACAGGTTATCGAAGATATGGCAATACATAATTCCTAATACGGGAATCCGAGAGGGTTTGATAACATAGGAAAACATAATGTCGATTCTGTATCCTTTCTGCAAGCTCAGTTAACATCTATTTTTCAGAAACTAGATAATTCTACTATTGTTTCTAACTCTGTAGCTAATGTTTCTGTTGTTGCTAGCAATGAAGCTTTCTGTAAAAATTGTGTATGTAGGGCATTGTGAGCAAGATTGTAGGAGTTCCATGGAGCAAGTTAATGCCTTCAACCTATAGGCAAAATAACCCATACTCTAACTCTTATAATCCTGGCCTTCGAACTACCCATATCTTTTCTACCGGAGTACCAATGTACAAAGCTCTCCACCTCCACAAAAAACACAACAACAACCCCCACCACCGCAAAAATATTACTATGCTAATTCTGGCCAGAAAAACCAATCACAAACCTCCTCATCTTCTAACCTTACTATGACAGAAACTAGAGCAATGCTTGTTGGGGTTTGGTAACTCCAACTTACCGCAAAAACAACCTGATGAGTGGCATTTATGCCACTCTTTTATCCTTTTTCTCTAAGAATTATCCCCTCATTTGCACTTGTTTGGCCCTTTTTCTAAGCATTTTTACTTAGTTTTGCTTCCTCTTTTCTTTTCCCCTTTATCTTCCCTTTACTTAGTCTTCTCGCTTTGTTTTTATTGTGATTTCCATGCTTATGCTTTGTAGGAACCATCGGGGTTTTCAAGAGGAGGAATCTAAGCTCAAGGGAAGCTAAAGGAAGCAAGATTCAGAAGAGGTTCGGCCGAACCTCCTGAAGGTGTGGACGAACTAGGGTGTGGCCGAACCCGCTCAGTGGTTCGGCTGAACGTCGAGGCAGGGTCAAGAAGCAATTTGGCATTTTTGCAGGAGTGGTCGAACCACAGAAGTTCGACCAGACCAGGATCAGGGAGGTTCGACCGAACCTACCCATGGTTCGGCCGAACCTACCCTGTAGTCCGGCCGAACCTTCCCATTGTTCGGTCGGACCACTCCTCTTTTTCAGCTGGCTCTATACGGACTATATAAGTCCCATCTTAGAACGTTTTGATGTAATTTTTTGGATTAACTTAGTTTTAATTTTGAGAACATTAGCCTAATCTAAAGAGAGAAAATAGATTGTTATTCAAGCATCCTTTATTGTACTCAACTTTGCTTAAGTTTTAATCTTCCATCAATCAAGCAAGAATCCAAGTTTTCATCTTTCATTAATCCTTTCTTTAGTAATCTCTTCTCCTTTCCTTTAGTATTATTTATTTGTTTTATTGTTACTTATTCTTGCCAATCTTATTAGTTTATCTAGTTATTATTGATTTCATTGATTTCAATCATGTTTTGCTTTGAGTTTCTTGAGTTTATTTCT